GGGAGGGAGGGGGGAAGGGAGGGGTGCAGGTCCGTGTCAGATTCGGGACCCTGTCATGCAAGTAGGAGCAAAGGGAGGTCACCTGCCGACGACGTCCAGAGCATTGAATCGTTTGGAGGGAAAGGGGAGAAAAGACGAACCACACGCGATTGAAGCTGCTGTCAGGGAAAGGGGAGAACATGAAATGATAAAACCCGACTAAAACCCAAACAATATCCACCCGACACACACACACACACACTCTCTCCGTTCCTCCCTCGCCGTATCCCCCTCCCTGCAGTAACGAAGTCCTTACTCCCTTCCTCCCTTTGACCCTTGGAACTAAAGCTATCCCTCCCCGTCCCCTCCCCCTCCCCGTCCCCTCCCTAGACCCCCACCTTCCCTCCCTCCCCTCCCCTCCCCTCCCCTCCCCTCCCCTCCCCTCCCCTTCCCTCCCTCCCTCCCCCCACCTGCTCCCAGCTCACTCCCTCCCCGTGAAGTGGCACACCCGTATCCTCCGCGTGGAACTCCCCCTCGATCATTTTCTGGACCAGCGGGTAAGTCAGCTTGGCGCAGGAGCGAATGACGCTGCGACCAAACCACGTTGACAGAATGTTGCCTGAGCAGGAAAAGGAAGGAAAGGGGGGAAGGGAGGAATGGGGGAAGGGAAAAGGCGGGAAGAGGAATAACTAGGTAAGCATGAAAATACAATGGGAAGAGCGGAATCATTGAGTCAAATTGCATTTTTTTCCAACGCCCCAGAAGGGGGAGATATATGTGCAGAAGACCGGAGGACATGAAGTAGGGCGAGCCCCCCGGGGGAAAGACGAACCATGAACGAACCCCCCGGGGGGGGAAAAGAGGTTTCGGGATGAAAAACGCCAAACCAGGTGTGAGTGTGAGTGTGAGTGTGAGTGTGAGTGTGAGTGTGAGTGTGAGTGTGAGTGTGTATGTATGCGTGTGCATGTTTATCAGCGAGGAAGACAGACAGAACCGCACTCGAAAGCGGAGGAAAAGGTGGCTGAGCGGTTGGGTAGCGGTAGCGGTAGGGGTACGCGGCGGGTGTGTTACTTGGAAACCAGGAAGAACACCACATGAAAGACCAGGATCGAGCCCTGAAGCGGTCGTAAAGGGCCTTAGGGTTAACCCTGAAAAGAAAACCACGAGGTCCAAGGTCTCAACAGTCATCTGGTGGAGTGTGGGCTCGGATGTGGGTTTTTCCTCCCCCCCCCTCTCCCGTTTTCCCCCCCCCCCGCCTTTCCCCTCTTACCGTGCTTGTCCATGTCCCACACCACACTGCATGTCAGTCTGTCCTCCCCCGGATTGAGGGGGCACAGCTGCTCACACAGCAAGGGCGGCAACATGGGCACTACCCGCTGGACCAGGTACGTGCTGGTGGACCGCAGGCCCGCCTCCACGTCCAGAGCGCTGAGGAGGAGAGGATGCGTGACGGGCGGGGTGGGGGGTAAAGGGAGGGGGGAGGGGGGAGGTAAAGGGGGGTAAAAGGGGGGAAGGGAGCCAAAGACAAGCAAAGCATGGGGTGGGAAAGGGATGGGGGAGGGGTGTATTTGTTCTTGTTTCCATAGGGGTGAGCCGCGAGGAGGAAGTGCTGGTGGGATAAGAGCGGGTGGTGGCAACACACAGGTAAGATGTACAATGTACGAATCAGCAGCTCCACGTGTGGTTTGTCGAAGAAGGCTACAGGAAGGGAAAGGGGGAACTCAAGTTGGTAGAGCAGGTGTTCACATGGTGCAGCAGCGGATTTACAGGTAGACGTCAGCTATCGCAAGCACATGCAAAGCCATGCCAACCCCCCGAAAAAGATCTTCCCTCTCCCTCTCCCCACCCCCAACAAGCCCACCATTCCCAACCCCTCTTCCCCCCCTTCCTCCACATCCAGCCCCCACTCACATTCCCACCTCCCCCCCCCCAAACACAAACACACACGCGCGCACCTGAACGGCTCAATGAAATGGGAGACGTCCGCGATGTGGACCCCCACGCGCCAGGCGGCTCCCTCCGCCGCCTCAGGCCCCCCGCCGGTCAGCGGCTCAATGGACAGAGCGTCATCGAGATCCTTAGCAGTGGGGGGGTCGATGGAGAACACACGCTGGGAGCTGACGGGGGGAAACCATATGCGAGAAAGGGGGGGCGGGGTTACGACGAGGCACAGACCGGCATGAGGAGGGCATGAAACATGTGCAAGGGAATAAAGGAATGAACTGCCGGGAGAGGGGGAAAGACGAACCACACACGATTGAAGCTGCTGCCAGGGCAAGAGGGAGAGGGGGAATGCATGTGATGCAAAAAATGAACTGCCTGCCGGTGTCCAAGGTCCGGTCCGTAGAGGGGGAAAGGTACGGGGGAAGAGGGGAAGAGCGGGAAACGGCAGTGGGGTTGGGAAGGTCAAGGAAAGAAAATTGTAGGGGGGAAATCAAATGCATGAAGGAAAGACCCCATCGCCGACGTCAAGGGGTGGGGTGGGGTGGGGTGGGGTGGGGATGGAAAGCAGGCGGGAAAAGGGTGTGGTAAAGGAGGTGACTAGGAGGGGGGGGAGCAGTGGACTGCAGCAGCAGTAGCTGCACCAGGGAGTAGCAACAACAACAAGAGTGTCTACCCGGCGGCGAGTACTGCTACGTCGTAAAATATGTGGGAAAGTGCATCACGTACATTCACGCAAGCAGTGTCCATAGCTGCGCCAGAATCCGTTTCAGATACACACAGCTTTGGAGTCTCGATACTGTACTCTTCACCATGACGTCCATTCCTTCATTTCCTTCCCCCCCTCCCTCCCCCATCTTCCCCGCGAGGGGATCGCAACTGGACTGCTTCGTCACTACCGCCGACTGGTTAGTTCTGGCGCATCAGTCTTTCCTTGGCAGCAGCTTCACTCGCTCGTGGCTCGTCCTTCCCCCCTCCCCTCCCTCCATAAGTCCGCACCGGAAGTCTCTCCTCCCGGCGAGATCCCGTTCACCAATCCTCCAGGGGAGGGGGGGCAGACACGCCAACACCTGGGGCTCGAAGTCCGTCGCTCGGATGCCCTGCCCCTCCAGTATGGCGGCAGTCTCGCTCTCTATCTCCCCCGCCTGGCCCAGACTGGAGCGCAGACCGGCCAGGGGCTGCTGGCTGGCGGGCGGCCAGCTGAGCAGCAGGGCGGAGACCAGAGTCCTGTGCACGTGGTGGTGGTGGTGGTGGTTGAGGTGACGATTGTGGTGGCGGTGGCGGGGGGGGATATGCGTGTGTGTGTGTGCGGAGGGGGGAGGGAGGGAAGTATGTGGCATGTGGGGTCAACAGACGGGACTGGACGGGAATGATTATTATGGGGCAACGCTTGAAGAGGCAACTGTACACGTCCCCGGGAAGGAGCGGGGAGGCCGGAAGGAAATATACGCGGAGTGGAAAGGATGAGAGAGGGAAAGGGCGGGAAAAGGGGTTTTGGGGGGGAGAGATGGCCGCCAGTACACGGCCGAGATAAGGCCTAACTGGGCTAGGGGTAGGGGAAGGGCAGAGTCATATATTAATGATGATGATGATGATGACACGTATCAAAACACACATCCCAACACCAACGCCCACCCCACCCTTAGCCTATCCACACGAGTAACAACCCCCCTCCCCCGTCCCCCCCCCACACCTGCTCGCCGTCTGCTCCCCCCTCAGCAGCCCCACCAGCAACGCCGGTGACAAGTTATACACCTTGTCCGCCTCCACACGACACGTCGGCAGGCGGGGGTCCAGCGGCACAAGGTGCAGCTGCAGAGCGGCCGCCCGCGCCGCCTCCACGGCCGCGTTGAGGGGCCCCGGCATGGCTGCACCATCCCTGGAGGGGTCCCAGGAGGGCAGGGATGTGTCTGGCAGCCGGCCCACCAGGCGCAGCAGCCCCACCAGCTGGCTGCGTTTGGGGGAGGGGTCCAAGACGGCCACCACCTTGGCTGCGGAGGGAGTGGGAGAGGGGGGAAAGCAGGGGAGGAAATCGTGTGATGCATGAAGCAAGATGATCAGAAAGGAGTGAAGCAGAGGAACGAGTGAAGCAGAGAAATGGGGGAAGAAAGAGGAAGAAAGGGGGAGGGAGCTATTACGAGATAGATGATTTGTCGTCCGATTCGCCATTGTGGCTGGTCAAGGAGGTATCAACCCCTCCCCCGAACCAAAAGGCAATCATCCCCCTCTCTCCCCAGCCCCCTTTTTTCCCCCATCCACCCCCGGCATATTCCCTTCCCGTGCTTCCACGGACGTGCCACCCCTTCGCAAACACAAAAAGCACGGATACAGACCGACCGACCGACATACATACCTGTCGCCCTAAGTTCTGACCTCGCTGCCAGTAAGTCGCACATGACCTGCTTGACCTGGTCGGGGGAGGTGCAGGACTGCCATGGCGCCTCCTCGCTGGAACCGCGACCCGTGGCCTGGGGACAACAACAACAACCAAAACAACCACAACATATTAGTAAGAAGACAGGGGGTCAGGGAGGGGGAGATGAGAGAGGAGTCCCGACATGGCAGGATGCTGCAACACACCGCACTGCCACCACGACCAACAGGAAATACCTGCGCCGCCCCCCCTCCCGAGGTACTGCACCACCACTCCACCTGCACCATCCGCACCAGCCCCCTCACCCCTCTGCCGCCCGGCCCCACCTGTGTGCCCGCAGCGGCCTGCTGCTTCTGTTGCTGTTGCTGTTGTTGTTGCTGTTGGCTTCCCTTATTCTTCACGAACCAGGCAGTGGGCGGCTGCACCTGCACCGCCACCTCGTCCCCCTCCACTGCCCGATTGCGACTCAGTTCACCGCGGACCAGCAGGTCGTGGGGGAGGCCGGGAACCGTCACGTAGGCCTGTGGCGGGGGGGTTGAGGGTTATGGCGGGGGAAATACGAACCACAGCTTCACAGACGGGTAAAGCTGATACCAGAGATATATCAGGGGGTAGTGGGGCTAGTGGGGGTGGTGGGGGGAATGAATGGAATGCCGGAGGACGGCGAGGGGAAAGGGAAAAATGAGGAAGAGGGCAGGGGCACGGTATCACGGAAACACAGGTCCTCGCTCCTTGGGAATTTCGGGACGGGAGCGGGATTTGGCGGAATGGAGTTGCCGGTGATGAGACGTTGACATACTTGCGAAGGTTTCTTTACTAGCCAGTGTAGTTTGAACCAGGTGGAAGAAACCCTCCCCTTCTTCCACCCACATATACATACATACATACATACATACATACATACATACATACATACATACATACATACATACATACATACAGACCCGACTTACGGCATGTGCCGTTCACGCAGACCGTCTTGCCCGCGCGCACTTTCCCCTTGCGCTGTGCCTCGGTCTCTACCACCCCCCGCTTTCTCCAGCCCATAGTGTAATATCCAGGTCGTGCACACGATACACGCACCAACAAACATGCACATGCACATGTACATACATACATACATGCTCATCGCGCTTGGGTGGGTGTGATGAGCGCAGGCAAGCGGAACAAAACGTCAAAAACGCCCTGACTCGGGCGCCACAATAATGCCATTAATAAACGTCTCTGGGGCCCCCCATCCCCCGGCTTTTCATACCGGACGGGCCCCACGCACTCGCCATATGTAACTTGTAACTTAATAACTTATTTCGTAACTCTGTGACTTGTCAAGACCCGTTCCGCTGTCTCACCTCCGCTGTGTTCCCCGGGTTGATCCGTATCCTCCCCCGGAACAGCCGCCCGCTCTTGAGACCGGCGGATAGGTCCCCCGGGGACAGGTGCTCCTGGGGTAACGGGGGGGTTGGAGGGGGTGGTGGTGGAGGGGGGTTGGAAGGGGGGTTGGAGGGGGGTTGGAGGGGGGTTGGGGGGGTTTGGAGGGGGTTGGAGGGGGTTTGGAGGGGGTTTGGAGGGGGTTGGAGGGGGGTTGGAGGGGGTTGGACGGGGTTGGAGGGGTTTGGAGGGGGTTTGGAGGGGGTTTGGAGGGGTTTGGAGGGGTTTGGAGGGGTCTGGAGGGGTTTGGAGGGGGGTTTCGCACTTGCAAGGAAAAAATGATCGTGGGACAGGGGCCCGCGGGGATATGTCGAAGAAGCACTGACGATTGAAGCAGGTACCAGAGATGGACGAGTAGTCCAGGAGAAGACAAATGATGCTACATCAGGAGTATATTTATTACTGACCAGCGACGACTTGAATGGTGAGCTTGGCGGCGACGTGGCCAGCTAGGTTGCGAAACGAGTTACTAGTGGCCCGCGCGCGTAGCCATATGGAAATGAAATAGTGCGGGAAAGTAGATGATGATGATGATGATGATGATGATGAGGGTGATGAAAGTGACGATGGTGATGAACGTGATGATGATGGTGATGGTAGTGGTGGTGGTGATGTTTGCGACAACAACGGATCACGAAGGAGCTGGGAAGGCAAGAGGACGTGGACGAGTTGCTGCGCCACCCACAGGCACAAGGCCATATCCCTCCCATCCAGCCTTCCCGCGGGCGTCGGTAGTTTACCCTTTCATCCATGCAATACTATTTCCTCCTCCCCATCCCTCCCCTCCCCTCCTCTCCAACCAGTCACACGTATACATGCGAACCCAGAAGTACACTCGCATTTACCCACCCCCATACCCCACAAACCCACATGGTAGGATCCAAACCATCCGCTTTCCTTCCTCGCCCCACCGGCGCCCGTCTGATTCACCCCCCCGGCCTCGTCCGTCCTCGATCCCGACCGCGTCCTCCCAGCCTCCAAGCGCGTCCTGGACAGCTGAGCCTCCGCAGCCGCCACAGCCTCAGATCCCGACCCTGATCTCTGGGAGACCACACCGCTGGCTGTGTCCCGGGGCTGCCGCCGCTCTTGCTGCTGTGGCTGCTGCGGCTGCTGCTGGCTCCGGCGGTCACCGCGCGCCTGCATGCCGATAGAGCTGCCGGCTGCATGGCCGCTGCCAGCCCCGGATGTAACGTGGGGAAGCGGCTGGGACGCGGGCGCACCACCGCCAGATCCTCGGCTGCGAGGGCCTAGCTCCAGGGAGGGGCTTGTTTCGCTGTCGGCAGCAAGGGGGGAGGAAGAGGTCGGCGGTGCGGCTTCCTGCGCATCTGTTCGGGCGTTGGGTGTGGGTCGCGGAGCGGAAGACGAGTTTGGGCGGGGAGCCGCTGTGTGCGTAGCCAGCTGCCGGTTAGGAATTAAGGCTGACTGCGGTTGGGTGGTGGGTGGTGGTGGCGGGGGAGATAGTGAAGGTGCGAAGGTTGGTGTTTGGGAGGGGGCCGCGAGGACGGAGCTCCGGGTGGCTGCATCCAGGGCGGCCTGGTACGCGGGGTCGTTGCCAAAGTTCATCCACCTCGACAAGCTGCATGCATGAAGGAATTAGAGGGACAAGTGAGAGCAGGTCAGTAAGGTGAGGAAATGGCGCTCGACAAGGCGATCATACTTTCCGTCACATCTTGTTCAGAAAGCATGTTCGCCTTGTCGAGCGCCAGCAGAGAAATTCCAACGCATACCCCAGGCATCATATGGTTGGATTTTAAATGCCTAACCAAACTACCAAAGCAACAATGAAAAGCCAACGGTACAAGTTGGGAGCATGTAGATCGAATCCTTCGCAAAGCTGTACCGGCGCTATCGCGTACACGGGCAAGTCGCGTATGACGGCACCAAGAACCCTATTCACCTTGCAACGTGTAAAAGCCTCTCAGCACGACCAGCTTGGCCACACGGAAGATGACGGACCACAGGTCCTTGGCTCGCAAAAAATTTCGGCGTTTCAAATACAACTTTAAAATTCAACGGACAAGAGCTGTCTGGTATAGACTTCCTTACTGTGCACGCAAGAACCCTTGATAATCCGTCACATAAGCTTCTCATCCAAGCTAGATCCCGTCATACAGCTTATCACGACATGATCATTTTACTCGTTTCCGGATAGCCGATCGCGAGCAAAGGCGTTATGTGATTACCATCGCGTCATTTTGGGTAAGTCCGTACGACAACGCTGGATCTCAACTAACTTCATTTTGGCAAAATGATTTTGCCCTTGTACTCATTTAAATCGGAAAGGAATTTGCGTGACTTTGTTGGAAGGCCGTAAATCCGCTCGTATTTCCAGAATCAATTGCCTCAATCCGCTGCCCAATTCCTCCTTCCACCTCTTCACCTTCCAATCAACGAGCTGTCGGCCACTGAACCTACCAAGCTGCATACCACCGTCCCCTTGAGTGGCCATGTAACTGAATACCCGCACGCCCCAGGTAGAACAAAATGATATGCTGAACTAGAAAGGAAAATTGAGGGGAATGAGTTCTGCCTCATCGGCGGAACTAATACATGTTCGTGTGTGTCACTGTGTGTGTGTGTGTGTGTGTGTGCGCGCGTGAACGGTGACACCGGAAAGGACAACACCCGCATTTGCGATACACACACCTTTCAAACATCGGATGTGTACGTGTTGAGGAAAATGTTGTCCGGTCAGTCTGTCGCCTGGTGCTTGCGTGATAGTTGGTTTCTGGATAGAGTGGAGCCATCTTCCGTACTTGCTGATCGACTGTCGAACTCGTCATTAAATAGGAATGAGCGAGCGTCTATCTTTGGTCTGGTATGCTTGTAGAGTAGTGAGTTGTAACGCTCTGGCAATCACTATTGCATCCGATCCACTTAGCCTTTAACAGTACGGATTGTCCGAACTGAGCCTCTGGGTGTGTGAATGCATTCTCAGCATATGTCCATCCGCGGAGTGGTACCCGATGGAGTGAGAGGGTAGTGCCCCCGGTGTGGGCTGTTGGCACCTGCAGACACGCTGCTCACATTGTCTTTGTCTCTGATATATCGATGCAGGTGTGCCAATCATGGATGGCGGTGGCGGATTACGGCCACACTCGGCAAGAGCGGCTTAGTCGGTTCTCAAGTAATTTTACATAGGATTTTGATGCTGTGCATGTGCGTGTGAATGTGCGTGTGTGTGTCTCTGTCTGTCTGTCTGCCTTGGATCCGATACCACATCTCCGTATTACCATTACTGCTGGCCACATACAGGTGCATCACGCACAGGCAATAAGCCACTAACGAGGCCCATTGATGAGTCGTTTACGAGTCGTTAGTGGGCCCACGTTAGAAGCACACGTCACCATCAGCGACCTGCCTACATACGCACCCAGCCGAACAGCAGCCAGCAGCCAGGATGTGGATGTGCTTATCCGGAGCACACATCTTCTCCTAGTGTGCCCACTGTTCAAGCAACCAGGTGCCACCAGGTGCTTTTTAGGATCAATCCATTACATCTGAACTCCCCCCAAAACTCTAATTACTCAGTGCCATCCTGCGTGTCTTCTCAAAGCAGCCCAGGTTCTACACAGCTGGCATTTAGTTTCTGTTTGAGAGCACCGTGTGTTTCCAGTAATGCTGTCATGGAGCCCCCATATCCTCTGGCCCACTGCATTCAGTGCTTTGAAGCTTGCAGGTAGTGGCTCTCCCATGCACACCCTGGCATGCTGAGCTACCGACGAAGTAAGATTGGAACCGTGATTGGGTGAGGTTGGAAGGGCTGTTTGGTCCCCACCCCCCCTGCATTGGCGCCTGACTGGCAGCTGCTGCTTTCCTCTCTCCCCTTTATGCAGTGGGCCCTCCAGCAGCTTCTCTCTTGCTGGATGCATGTGTCTGTGGCCTGTAGGAGAGCCTACCTCCGGTGCGGAACAGTGGTTTGACCTGGTCCTTGGTGAGTGTGGGTTAGAGGTCTGTGTATACACTTTGTAGCCTACACATCGAGGTGGAGTACATCCACCACCCATGCAGCCGTTAAGGCAGTTGGCAGCTGGGCTACCAACTTCAACAGCCCCTCGGGAACACTACTTGGATTTAGCTGTGCTTGCTTGCCTGGCTCTCATGCTCCTTGGCCCTATAGCAGCCCAGTGTGTTGCACCGTTTGGTGTGCAATATTTTAACCACCTGCAACAACCCATGCAAGCTAAGCTGGGGTAGTGCCTTCCTTCAGTATTCAGGAGACCTCTGTCGCTACCCTGGCTCACAGGAGGTGTATCTTGAGGTACAAACAGTAAAAAAAACACCCAACTCCTACATGTGCACAAAGATATCACCTGAAGTCAGCTGCAAACTGCAGATCAGTACGCTCCAATCAGCAGACCTGCCCTATTGTACGAGACACCAAAATGTTCCATCACCGTCCTGTAGACCATCCTGCCTGCCTGGAAAGGTTAGGGTTTCACCACCACATAAAATCCCAAGACCCCACAAGATTCGCCCCCTGCCAAATCCATCCCACATAATTGAAAAGCCGCACGGCTGCATGGCAACTGTACTCAGTTCCTACACACATATATATAGTGCTATAACGATCATGCCCAGCATCATATCGTTAACAACCGCTCCTTGTCTGTACATCTAGTGTAACAGCTCGATGGTTGACAGGTGCATGCACGCAAAAATTACAGCGACTACACAGCTGTCCCACTACACCACTACATCGCCCGACAGCCCGCAACGCATTGGCCACGTGTACTGTAGAAAGCCATGCCGAATGTATGCATGTATGGCATTATGCACCTCAAAGGTAGCAATGAGACCCATGAGTGCACATGAGTAACACCGCGGGCGAGGGCAGCAGGTGGGCCGTAGTGAGGGATGGACCCCAACGACCCAACGACCCTCTGTGCCATCCGATAGTTAGTCCCGTGCGAGTCCTTTATCATATTTGGTAAACATAACATTTGTCATGCTGTCAATCCAGCCTCCGTCCGAAATGTATGTCAGTTAGGTTGAGTGAATAGTAGTATACTGGTCGCAAGCCGTGTCAAAGGTCCTGCTTGCCATTAATCAGTTAGTCATGTCAGCTCCCGAGATTGGTCATTTGCACAACATTTACGAGTCGGTGACACAGCCAGTAGAAGCCGAGGTGACGTTCTTGATGTACTTGTAAAGGGTGCCACTGGTCGCCTGTTTTGTGTATCCGATCAGTAACCGGGCGGGGAAAAGGAGCAGATAGTGAGAGTAGAAGTGAGCTCTGATGGAAAGGAAAACCCGTTATTAAGTACACACACATGCAGGTAGGGCCCTGAATGAAAGGACAGCTAAAAGAGCGATTACAACACAAACCTAGATAGCGTCTGGGAAGTTGCTCATTAATACTTGTAGTACAGTACACTCGCTTCCAAGCACACAGCATGAATCTCGAGATCCCTCGACAGCACTGCTGTCCGGCGTGCCAGGAACCACCCACCATGGGCCAGGAACCACCCATGGCGACTCACCTTCAGCGGCGGCGCTACCCAGGCTGCACGCCGAGCCGCCATCTCCTCCTCCGAAACCACCATGTCCATGACGCGATTCTCAACATCAATCACAATCTTGTCCCCGTCCTGCTTGGCAAAAGGGTTTGTGGACATTTAGGTACTCAAGGGCCATTATTGTCAGATGCCCCCGCAAAAAAGTGTGGTGGTTTTCCGCCCGCCGATAACAACAACAATAACAACAAAACAACAATAATAATAACTAATAAAAGGATAGTCTTAAGGATAACAATGACGATAATAAGAAAAATAAGACTAATGATGATACAGCCAGAAAGTGTGAAGCGCTTAGATACACCTTTGTCAATCCTACATAACAAAACAGAGCCCTTGACTTGAGCACCAGACACACCCAACACACCCAGCAATAGCCCACAACACCCAAACCTCAAAAAGCCATATTTTCTTGGAAGTCCCAGCAGCTCACATCACAACCCAAAACACACAAGCACACTAGTCTCCCCCTCCCTCCCCCCAAGAAAACACACGCGCGCACCTTCACCAGCGCAATGGGCCCTCCGACTTGCGCCTCCGGGGTCACGTGTCCGATCACGAAGCCGTGGCTGCCTCCCGAGAAGCGCCCGTCCGTGATGAGGGCGCACTCCTTGCCCAGACCGGCCCCCATGATGGCGGACGTGGGGGTGAGCATCTCGGGCATACCGGGGCCGCCCTTGGGGCCCTCGTAGCGAATCACCACAACCTGCGAACACGAGCAGCCCGGCAGGCAGGGGGGGGAAATGCGGGCACGCAGGCAGGCAGGCAGGCAAGGGGATGAAGAGAAGAAGTGGAAACAGTCGGAGGTCTTGGGCCTGGGCATTGGACTGCTCTGGAAAACCTTTGTGGAAAATATTGAAATTCGGAAATTGAAGAACAGGTAAATAGTTCTACGTTCTATTTACCTGGATTCCTTCCTCACCTTGCCACGGAATTTGTTCGGTTCCGCTCCAACCATCGCAATCATGTCCTCCTCGCAATCGAACACCAACGCCTCACCCTCGAATTTGAGGCCCTCCTTGCCGGTGATTTTGGCGACGGAGCCCTCCGGGGCCAGATTGCCGTACAAGATCTGAATGTGGCCTGAGGGAAATGGATAGCAACGATTGCAATTTGAAACTTTTAAGCACAAGGTCCCGAACTGAAGTGATGCAGCACCCCTTCACAACACACAAAAGGAAACCAGTGCACCCCGTTCTCGGCCCGTTACACCTTGGGAAAGCAACGAAGAGCAACACAACTCCTCTAAAGGTGCGGAACTCCCCAGCCCGTCTTCGCCCATCCTCTCCGTCCCCTCCCCTCTCTGTTTCCCTCACCCGTCTTCTTAATGGGCTTCTCAATGGGCAGCACCACGTCCTGACCGGCCCGGAGCTCCGGAACCTCGGACAGGTTGCCAGCGACAGTCTTGCCTGATGGGGGGAGGGGGGGCGGGAGAAGGGAGGGGGGATTATGTCGGAAAATAAACATCGGAAAGAAAACAGACCTCTAGTCGGCGTTTCCAAGGTACCAACCGCCGTAGGGGGGAAGGAGAGAAAGGGGAAAGGTTGAAGAGGGGGGAAGAGGGGGGGAAGAAGAGGAAAGGCGAGAGAGTGGGCGAGGCGGAAAGGGGCGTGTTTATTTATCGAGGCCTCCACACGCAGATAGGCAAATGCGCAAAGCCTATGACACCCTTTTATTATAACCTCCAAAATGAGTGCAGCACGTTCTGGGATAATGGATTTCGAGAAATAAAACACGCAGCTCCCGAACCAACACCAGCAACAATCATCACTTAAGCTTAAGGCGCACACTAGAGACCTACATTCCAGCATATGCGTCAGGTGCCCAGGGGTCTTTACCCCATTTTGCCCCCTAACTCCCCCTAATACATACACACATACGTGCATGCATACCATGCACGCATGCACACAAGAAACCCCGACCCCCGCACCCAAGCCCACCCCCCCACCCCTCAACCACAACCCCTACCTGCCAGGGAACCCACCCGACCCCCCCACTCTTAACACTCAGATCCACTACTCCCCTCGGCCCCATGCGGGCGCTCATATCCCACACACCACACACCGCACTATCCCACGGACCACCCACCGGTAACGGTCATGCAGTCCCGGTTGATGAAGCCCTTGGAGTCCAGATACTTCAGGACTGCGGGGGTGCCGCCAACCTAACAGTCCAGGAGGGGAGGAGGGGGAAAAGGAACGAGACGTCTAAAACCAGCTATAGCTGTTGGTATAAATGAACTAAAAAGGTATTAGAAGGCATATAAAACCTCCTTCCGGCCACCAGGAGGATTGCTTCACTGTGCTATAAGTTGGATAACAAGGATAAGGCAACCAACACTAAGGCAGCAGCATAGCCCCATACACACATCTACACATATTTCCTACCCCTCTCTCCCTCTTACCTTGTCCCCTTCCCACGCCCTCCCCCCACGCCGCCGCCCTACCTTGTGCACATCCTCCATGACATACCGCCCAGAGGGCTTCAGGTCGCAAATGAAGGGCACACGGTCCGACACCCTCTGGAAGTCATCCAGACTCAGAGACACACCCACAGCGCTGCGAGGGGGAAGAGGGGAAAGGGGGAAACGAGGGGATTACATTGCATGTGATTTGGGGAGGAGGGAGAGGAGAAGATAAACGATGAGGCAATCGAGGGAAGGTGCGGAGATCAAGAAGATGACACGGTGGTATGCAGATGCACATACAGACGTACATAAACTGGGGAATGATAACATGTATAGAAAACCAGCTCATGATGGTCAGCTTGTCTATGTGGCGATGCGGCATGCGAGTAGAAGAGGTGCACAACGAAAACAAAACACAAAACAGAACCCCCATACTACCCAATCCCCAATACCCGCCAAACCTACCCACAGGCACCCCACCTCGCCCCCAATCCTTTACCCATACATAAGTTCCATACACCCTTTTCCCCCTCCACCGCACACCCGACCCGTCTCACACACCCCTCCTCATTACCCCCCAGGCAACATCCCGGGGGTAGTGGGGGCAACACCCCCTCCCCCCCCTCACCGCGCCATGGCGATGAAGTGCAGTACGGCGTTGGTGGAGCCCCCGGTGGCCATCACCAGCACCATGGCGTTCTCAAAGGCCTTGTACGTCATGATGTCCCGCGGCTTCAGATCCGACTTCAACAACTCCAACATGTACCTGACGTGACGTGACACGACATGAGGGAGGGAGGGAAGGAGGATTTGAACGGGGAATCAACGGGGGGCAACACGTGAAGATGACCAAGTTTGACTTTTTCAAGAGGAATAGCTGCGGAGGTGAGAAATAGGAGGAGATAGGAAGAAATCCGCGCCGCAGATGTGATTGATATGGGGAGGAGAGGGAATGAAAATGCGGGGGTAAGGCAGTCCCGCGGGCCTCACTTCGCATTCTCATGCTGCACGGACATGTTTCCACCCTAGGGGTAGGTTCTAAGCCTCGACCAATACACCCGTTGGGGGTGAGGGGGGGAAAAGCGCACGCGAGTGTTCAAGACACACCCCGGACTCAGGTCGTACGTACTGAGGTAAGTACACTACATACAACCCAGTGCTGCATGATACAGAAAAGGGAAGCCCATTACACGGAGGCGTGTTGTATCGCGGCTGTAACGGGCGCCGCACGTGGCGTGTGTGTTTCCGTGCCGAGCCCTGACTAGCCGGGACGTCCCCGTGGTGGGGTCATGTGGCGGGAAGACTGCCCCCGGGGCCACGGAGGTGAGGAGGGCAACCCGGGGGTAATTATTCCCGCTAGGAATAATAAAAGGAAAAGAGGAAAAGGCGACAAAAGCCGAAACCCATCCAACCCTCAATGTGCAGGGACAACTGCCACAACTACACCAACCACCTACCTGCCCGCCATGCGGCATTCGTCCTTCTTCAGCAAGTCCTCGGCCGGAATGGACGAGCTGCGGTACGGGGCGAACGAGGGGAATACATGGGGAGATGTGACTGGCACCTGATTAGGAAACGCTAAGCCGGCAAGAACTGTCGGAAAGAGTGAAAAGGGACGAACATGATGTCACCTTATGCAGGTTCAACCGCTGAACGAACAGTCAACCAAACCTGACGCCACCCGATGATGACGCCACCAACCGCCACCACACCTAAACGGAGCGATGAATTGATTTGTAAGCCCCCCCGGGGGACAGACGGTGGGGAGGGGACGCTTCGCCTCTTCTGAACTTTCCGGACACAGCCCTCCCGGCCACATCCGGAAAACCGAACGAAATGCGGCATTCGCTGTACGACAACGACGACGATGACGCATATACTCAACGCACCTGTACGGCAGCGTCATGCCTAGGGCCTCAATGGCGGACGCCATGGTGTTCGCCGTGTACATCCCCCCACACGCCCCGGCCCCTGGACACGAGTTACGGACAATGTCCCGTCGTTGCTCCTCAGTGATGAGGCCCGCCGAGTAGGCACCTGGGGGGGAGGAGGGGTTGAAGAGGGGGTGGAGAGGTGAAGAGGGGGCCCGGCGAGACGGGGCGAAGAAACACATCGGATGAGCTGGTTGAGAAACGTAAGGAGGTGTCACGTCGTGGTGCACGTGGGCAACGTCGCGGATGGGGTGCAAGCCAAAATAAGCAGCATGTGGAGAGACGCGTGCTTCAGTCTGAAGAATGAACATCGGTTAAGGCGGTTCTAACTCATATGAAAGACAACAGAAAAAGCAGCAGCTGTCGAATTGAAATGAAATGACATCTGATGACCCGGGCACACAGGTAGGGGGGGCTCCAAACGGTGTGTGTGTGTATTAGGCTCCAGGGGGGCGGGGAAGGGACCGGCGTGTGAAGCGCGGGTGGCGCGGGGCTGTATCGCGGCTGTAACGGCGAACGGGTGTTGTGGGGTTTTCCCCACCAGTCCTCCTGACTTGCCGCGATGGAACTAGTCCTTGATGTCGCGAAGAGACTGCCGCTGGCGATACGGGGGTCGACCGCCGGCGGTAATTATCCCCGCATTACACGCGTATACTTTCGTCCAACATTCCGTATTCCTATATCCTTAGTGCAGTGGGGAGGCGTGTTGTATCGCGGCTGTAACGGGCGCAGCACGTGGCGTGTGTGTTTCCGTGTCGAGCCCTGACTAGCCGGGACGTCCCCGCGGTGGGGTCATGTGGCGGGAAGACTGCCCCCGGGGCCACGGAGGTGAGGAGGGCAACCCGGGGGTAATTATTCCCGCCAAGGGTAATAAAAGGAAAAGAGGAAAAGGCGACAATGCGGCCATAGGCGGCTGATGGATGATTCAGCTGGCAGAGCTAATAGGCGGGTAGCGAGGAATATTGCCGACACCATGGATTGTGTCCCTAAAACCCTAAAACCCGGCAAGGAATCCAGCTGCAAGTATCTGCCCCCAGCCACCACTGATGATATCCCTCCCTCCACCGAAAGCCGTAGCCCCTGCTGTAGCCCCTGCTGTCCCGTCACCCCCTCACCAAAGCTCTGGAAGGCCGACACGATGTCCAGCACGGCGCCGTCCGTGCGACTGTGCCCCGGCTTGATGGTCCCTCCGTAAATCATAAGCGAGGGGCGGTTCAGGCGAGCCATGGCCATCAGCGTGCCGGGCATGTTCTTGTCGCAACCTGGGTGGGTGAGCGCGTTTTTGAGGGAGGACATCTCAGTGCGTGTTGGAGGAAAAAAGCTTCACGCAAGTCTTGGACAAGACTTTGCCGTGCTATTGCCGCTGTTACCGCTGATGTCCGGCGGGTGCTGGAAGCGGAATGCTCGGATGGACAACGGGATGAAAACGTCGTCCGAAACGTGTTAGCCGTTTTTTCCACAATAGCAGCCGGTCTTAATGCTCTACCGTATCATCAAAAGTAGTTAGCTCTTAGCAGGGTAACGCCTTAGCAGTAAACAGATAGCGGTGGTGGCGGTACACATCAAAGCAAAAACTTCTGCTACGGAAGGACGATAAGAAAAAGTCACAGCAAATCCACTTGAACTAGGAACATGTGAAAGCGATACCAATACCTAAACAATAGAAAATATTAGAATGTGGTGGTACACATCGACATGTGCCGTATAGGACGTACCTGGCAGGGAGATGTTGGCGTCGTACCACTGCGCGCTCATGACAGTCTCGATGGAGTCCGCGATCAAGTCTCGGCTCTGAGGACGGAAGCCAGAGGGGCAGACAGAAGCGAGGGGTCGCAAGGGGGAGGTGGGAAGCAGTGCGGCGTAATGTGGGAAAACAGGAATTGTCGTGTCGGTTACGTGTAGGTGAGTGTGACTAGTGGTCAAGGGCGACAACAGCATGCGCGGCGTCGTCCTGCCGTCCCCTAATGATTTCCCCTATCTGCGACCAACATCTCCACCACAAACACTAACCCACAACACCCCCGCTCATCACCACGCCTCCGCTTACCTGCAGACTGAAGCTCATTCCGTCGGTGCCCATGGAGATGCCGTCTGACACGCCAATGGTGTTGAAGCGGTAGCCCACCATGCCAATGTCCTCTACGCCTCTCTTCACCTCCGCCGCCAGGTCCATCAAGTGCATGTTGCAGGGGTTGCCCTCATACCAAACCGAGGAGATGCCGATCTGGGTTGGAGTCGGTTAGGGTTGGGCAGGTGCGGGCCGAGTGAGGTTGAGGTGGGTTGGATGTCGGTTGGGTACGGTCACGCAAATGAACCATACCGGGAGTTGTTCGGGACCTGTTAATCTAATCGCAACAATTATGGACATGAAAAGGCCAGGCCGGAAAGGTGAAGCAGCGAAGTCGACCACATTACACGGCTATGGAAACATCTACTTTATACTTCTATACATAGCTCTAATAGCAACAAGGTTGTGGTGTTCCGTGAGACGAAGAGGGGCGTTTACAATCATTCCACAACGTTTCAAACCAATTTGAATCGTGAATCCTTTTATCCAGACACGATCCGCTGCAATCCGCCACGAAAGCCTGAAGCCATATGGGCCGGGAATTACAAGCCCTCGGGAGCTGACCAAAAACTAAACGTATGCAAAAGTCAGCGCGTCTGGTTCGCGTAAAACGAATGCGATGCGATACAGCGACTTGCAAATGCATTTCAGTCTCGCGCATGATGCTGTCGCGGATAGAGATCTGGAAGAAAGCCGAAGGTGCGGGTTTGGATACAGCACAATGAATACAGCTGATTTGGGTCTAGAGCCAGTTTGAAGGTAAGTGGGTTGGCTGGTACTTGTGAGGAACAATCAGCACGATAGCGCAGGAGTACTTTAAAGGCTCGAGACACAAGCCACAAGTCCGGCAAAGCTAGGGCGTGTGCGGTTGTCCCCGTGCTCTGGAGTAGCTCAACAACGTGTAGCCAACCACCGTAGACACCTGTGCTGTCCCCGGCACCCAATTCAAGAGACATGGCAAAGGCACAGTATTTGGACACATAAGTTAGATGGCACCGCTCCGCACCTGCGGCTTGTTCATGTCCTCCTCCCTCAGGCCGGTAGCATACAGCATAGCCTGCGAAGCGCCCTGGCTTTTGGGTTGCGTAATCCGACTGCTGTACTTGTTGAGTCCTGTGATTTAACAAATAGATTAAATCAATAGAAACCCGCTGGCAAGCAGAGCGCCAACCCATGCTTTGCAGAACGAAGCGGCTAGGCATAAATATCAAAGACATTATTCAGGTATGGGTAACTGCAAATCTGCGCAATATAGCAATTTTGCACAATAGTACCGAGTTCTTGGAGGATAGATGCGACCTCCTGAACTCATCAATAGGAGGTACGCCCGACAGTGGCGGCGCTCGTTTACAATGCCACTCCAAGAATGACCGAAATCCACAGCATTATTGTAATCCAACCTTAATCCCCCACAATACGCTGATTACACAATTCATTCACATTTGATTCGGATGCTATACCAACCTGCCGGGATAACAGGCGCCGCAGCAGCCGGCTTCTCGGGTGCAGCAACAGCCGCGATCTTAATTAAACGACGGCTACGGATGCCGGCGGGCTGCATAGAGGCCCGTTGGCCAGGACACAGAGTCGTCGGCGACATTTGCTTGGACCTCGGCTAAAAGGCCTACTGCACGCCCAGGAACAGCGTGCCACGGAGAATGAAATGTATTCGGAAAACAACGGCATTCGTATCAATTCAATTTGCTCGAATCCGCAGTGACTTCACCCCGAAACCACGTACGGGAGGCATGTGAATGCTATTTTTAGCGCTTGCGTCCCAACGCGGCATTGTCGATGCTTCCGCAGTAAATGCTTAGAGATCACTAATGCTCCTCTTTCGGCTTTAAGTTGATTGGTTGGGGCAGGCAAGTTCACCGTTGGCTCTTTGTAACGAGGCATTTTTCCGTGTCCGTGGGAGAGCCGTGGAGGAGAATGCGCGCAGGGTGCGGGTGGCTAGGTCGGGGAAGCAGGCGGCACAGTAAGTGGAGCAGTGGAACCTACACTACATGCTGCCCTCGTTGCTGGCGTGCTGGCGTTGCTGGCTAGCTTCTTTGGCTGTGTACGGTGGACGAGCGCTCGCCGCCCCAACTGGGGCATTTTTGGCACAAAACGCGGATAAGTTCGAAAGGTTTTAGCAGTTTCGCATCGAAGGACACCTTGGTGTAGTTGGTTATCACATCTGTCTAACACACAGGAGGTCGCCAGTTCGATCCTGGCAGGTGTCATTTTGTGTTTCTATCGTATGCCTGTTTTTATGCACCTTTAAAGCTCCTTTTGGAAGCAATTGTGTCATGTATACATCTGGAGCAGCTTAAATGAATCTTAGTAATAGACGTGCAACCTGATGTGCAATTTGACGTTCAACCTTGACACCCGAAGTCGGGAGTGCCCAGTGGGCACGCGTGGGCCCCTTGGCGCCTTCTTCACTACTTCCTAGCTTCATTTTGTTTTGAGTCCTTTCAGCGAGTGTACTATTGTATAATGCATGCCAAGTGATAGGCATTCAATTCAATTCAACATATGAATTTCCACCCTTCAGGCCAAACGGAATAGCGTCGCCAGACAATCTTGAAACGTAAACCTCACACCTGACGAGCACTGCACGGACGAAGAAAGCGGTCAAACAAACGTTACAACGCCCAGGGACAGGGCAAAACCACCCTCACTTTGCATCTTTATCCCCCGCCTCAGGTTACATCCACGCACGCCATCCCCCTTAAGACACATCCGCGGAGGCATGCATCCTCAGGGCAAACCGCCGTCAGATACATCCTGAAAACCCCACCCTGGTCATGTCTGCCTCAGCGTCGGGTTAAATCTCAGTGCCGTACACATGACATCCTACCCTACCCCCCGGACACGCCTTCTCACCTACCCCTGCCCACATCCCCGTCCCACTCTTTCCATCCTTATCCCTGTGCCCGACCCTCCGCCGCATCCTGACCGCTCTGCCACCCTCCTTTTGGCTCGCTGCATAACCGATTGTTGCTACCTACCTGGGTGTCGAAACGCGGTATAGTCAAGAGAATCACAATTTGTGCTGATCGCCACGACTATTGAGTCGTATGCATCGCATCACGCAGTTGAAGAGTTGAAACAGCCATGATGCATGTGCACGTTTCGGAGCGCGAGTCCAAGTCAGCACACGGCCGTTTATGGAAAGGAGTTCAAGAGCAACCCCAAGTCAGACATCAGAAAGGTCAAACATTTGGGAATGAAACTAAGTCCGAGAGCCGTCAGCAGCAGCAGCAGCAGCGGCGGCGGCGGCAGGAAGTAATCGGAAGTCATCGCAGGCAAGAGTCAATTAGTAGCCGTTAGGCCACTTAAGCAGTCGCAAAGCTATCAAATTGGTTGTGGAAGTGATCTTTTTGGCAGCAGCCAATGATTTCGGTTTGGGATATGTCTCGGTCCCGAAATGGCAGCCAGCCATCATGCGACTCCAAAAGAGCGCGTGCAGGAGCACGAACCAATCAATGTACGAACGAGCGATTTGAACGCATGGACGCCCATCTCCATTTGTACTCCTGTGATGATACCACCCCCAAGCGGCCACTATCCGTGAACACTCTTTCTCCTCCTCTTCCTCCTCCTCCTCACTTTCGTTGTAATGTTCACTCTACCCCTCCTCATCCTTTTCTGCATCGTCCCTAACACCATCCTACTCCAGTGCCGTACCGTGCAATCACTGCCGCCGCCGATGCCGCCACGCTACGCAAAAAAACAACAAGCAACACAACCAAGCAACACCCCACACTACGGAAGGAAGCCTCGTCTCGGCCTCCTCGAGGTTTCCCACAAGCTGGACATTACATTACAAAACACGGCACAGCTCCCTAGGAGCAGCAGCAGCTGTTTTAGCAATGTCCTTCACAATCTCATGCATCCTACTGCTGCTACTCCTCCGCCTTTGCATCTTTCAGCCCTGCCTCATGCGCGTGCTCGTGCATGTACATGCGCATGTGAATGCATGCGCGCGCGTTTATGTGCCTGCATATTCAGATTATAAAAAAACATATTACCCTGTACGTATATGACATGTACATGTACATGATGTAGGGGGCACCACATGCCCCACAGAAGAGGAACAGTGTTCAGTGCCGTCCTGCACGCTTCCCCCGACACTACACCAACAAGACCGAACAACGTTTCGCACACGTTTCCCCCCGCGGGCGTTTTCCCAACAACCCCTCCTGATCCTGTTCCACACACGAAGGCGGGCCCCCCCCCGGCGCAGTGGGTCTACTGCTCCCCTTCCCTGTTACCCGAGAACCAGGGCAGCCGCAACAGCTCCGCCGTACTTAACCGCCGTTGGGGCTCCGGAACCAACATCCCCGCCAGGACCTCACGACACGCCGAGCTGGCGTGGGACTCGAGAACCGCCTGTACGACCAACTCCTGAAGGGGGTCGCGGGAGCGAAGGCCCGAGACCGTTGTTGCAGCTGCGGCTTCCGTACCTGCGTTACCGGGCTTGTCATCGCTTTCCGTGGCGGCGGTTGCGGCGGTTAGAGTGGGGCCGGAAGTCGTGGCGGCTGCAGCTGCGGCTAGCAATACCCGCGTCATAACCTCCAGCTCGTTGCCGCCTGGGAAGGGCGGTCGGCCGGTCAGCATCATGTACAGCAACACCCCTGCAAACAGAGCGGGGCCGCGGGTAAGAGAGACTAGAATATATACATATAATTACATATATACAGGGTGGGAAAGTGACACAAGGAAGAGAAAGTATGGGAATGAGGACATGTGGAAAGGCTGGCGGGGGGCTGGGCAAGAGGGCAGCTCGCTCTCTTACGGAGCGGGACGAGAGGAGAGGAAACGAAAACGGTGGCGGCCGCTGCGAAGGAGAGCGTGGAAATGTGGAGATAGATCTGAAGCTGATGGCCGCGGTGTGTATGTGTGTGTGGTGGTGGGGGTGGGGGTAAGGGGGTAAGGGGGGACGAGAAGAGAAGAGGGAGAAGCAGCGGACGATGCGCCACTGTGATGACACTGCATGGTGCCCCACACTCTGTGCTGTGTGATTTCCCGTTCGCCCACGTCTCCTCTCCATCCCCTCCCGATCTTCTCCCCCCAACAACCCCAAGACCCCGACGCCCTTTTTTCACGACTTTCCTCTTTGATCTCAATGGCTAGGGTGTCATTACTCCTTTCCTCCTCTGGACTTGGCAGCGAGATAGATAGCACTCATTCGCCATCTAGATAACACTAGCTGGCCAGGTCGCCGCAATGACCACTTCCATGGTTATTACCACCCAAATTATTACTGGTCGGTAATGTCCCGATGCAGTATCTGCCTTTTCCGGGGGCATCTTTCTTTCTATCTCTGGATAAAAATATCACCCGGAGCATCACCCGACTGTGGTTCGTCTTTCCACCTCCCTTGACCCCTTCATCCGTCCCGCCAGGCCGTTTCGCTCACCCGCGGCCCACACGTCAGCTGCCCGGCCGTACCCGGCCCCGCTGATGGCTTCCGGTGCCCAGTGGTACGCACACCCCACCAGCTCTCTCAACGGCACCTCCCGCCCCGTAACCTCCTCCACCTCCGGACGAGCCGCCGCCGCAAGACCCCCCAACTTCAAGTGAAGCAGCAGCAACTGCTCCTGCTGTTGCGGATCGCAGGTGTCGCTACAGCCGCCGCCGCCGCGGCTGCTGCTACTGCTACTGATATTGCCGGACATTGGCGGCGGTGGCCGCCGCGTGTCATCCGTCACCGGTACCCAGCCGCCCCCCGCCGAGCCCCGGCGTCCGCCGCTGCCGCCGCTGGTGCGGCTATGGCTGCGGCTTCCAACCGGGACGGCTGCGGCGGCTGCAGTGGTGAATGAGGGCGACGATGCGCCGGCGGATGAAATGGCAGTGGTGGGAGTGTTGGTGGCTGGTCTGACGGCTGGTGGCGAGAGAGGCTCACTAAGGGCATCCATCGCATCAAGCGCTTGCTGCTGGGGCAGTTGTTGTGGGTGTGATTGTGGCCCACGTTGGTGCGAGCCGTGTAATGCTAGTTGAGGTGTGAGCTCCAATGGGGGGAAACGAGCTGCCAGCTGGGAGCGTGGACGCAGCGGCTGGGATGCCTCCGTAACCCACACGGTTTCGGAGCTGATGTTCCGATGCACCCAGCGCCGCTCGTGCAGTACGGAAAGGGCCTGCGGGGCAGAGCGAGCGAGCGAGCGAGCGAGAGAGAAAAAGAGCTACGTAAGGACGTTCAAGAGAGTCGAAGTCGATGTCAGGCCACGAAATGCTCCGAGGAAGCGGTTTCAGTGCTGATATACTGAAGACACATGTTGCACTACCTTTACCGTGACAAGGGTTTTTCACTCACAAAATAGGGTGTGCGCGAGTGAAAAAATGGTAAAAGGTGTTTTTGGTAAAATAAAAATTAGGGTTCTCTGGTTTTGATGACCCGGGGGCGCCAGGGGCACGAAGAGCACTTAGAGGGTCTTTAGCCTCTCCCCCACGAACTCCCCGCTCATCACCCAGAACCAGCTCCTACACACATATGGACTTTCTCCTTTGCGGGTTGCGGGTGATTCCCGGCTCCGCTGAGGCGGTTTGGTGTCTTAACGCAGCTTCTACGGGTGCTTGAAGAGCGGCCGTACTCCCCCCACACACCGCCTGTTGGCCCCTAGCTACTAGTCAGCTAGTGTAACTTCCCTCTCTTCTTCCATTGGTGGGGAAACCGTGTGAGGAATATTCCCCCCAAACGTAATTCCTCCCCTCCCTCCCTGGCAGCAGCTTCACTCGCACGTGGTTGGCCTTTTCCCTCCCTGCCTCCCTTCCTCTCTCGATTCCAATTTCACCTGCAACAACTGTCGCATAACATTGCGACAAGCCGCCTCTGGCAACCGTTGTTTCGTGCGCAACAAACTGTAAAGATCGCTGTATTCGCCCGTGCTGTCGTACACCACGTATACGGCATCCGATTGTTCGTACACTCGGTGTGGCAGTAGCAGTAGCGGGCAACACGGCAGAGCCGCAGCGGTGTCCAGCTCACGCTGCAACTGCTGCAGTACGGCGGATCGTAAAGCCGAGTTGGACGAAGTCTCCCACATCGCTGCGTGTGAGGCTGCACACGGGCCCCAACTGCCTCTGTCTGCCTTTGCATCGGCAACTCCTGTAAGACTTGCACCTTCCACCTTTCCCCTTTTCTCCATGTCTCCATTTCGGATTATCTGTGACGCTGCGGAGGACCACATTTCAACGGTTCCATTGTCCATTTCCCCCAATTGGAACCGCCTGCACAGCCGACGTTGACCGGACTTCCAAGAAGTAGCAAGCATGAAGGGCGGTTCAAGAAGATCCCATACGCCGTTTGGGCTTGGGGCGTCGTCGCGGGCTCCGTTTGGCAGTGGCAGACGGGAGCCGCGCCGCGTTGGGGATGAGGTGGTGCTGCCTGCGCTGTCCTCGCAGGGCGCACCGCTGAAGGAGGCAGCGGATGTCACCGGCTCGCCGTCACGATACTCGGCGGCAAAGCAAGAAGAACTGCTTTGTAGGTGGACGGGAATGTGAAGCTTGCCGATGGCGGGCCGGCCAGGTGCATCCGGGGCCAGCTCCGGGTGACCGGCATAATCGGCGGTCCGCCCCAAGGCTGACACGTGAGAACGTGCGTTTGTGCTGCGGCACAGCGTGTCCTCAAGCAGCGGTATGCCTGTTTTCTGTTCCGCATCGAGGCTACGACCAGAAGCCGCGTCCCCCGGCGAGCCTGGCAGTTGGCCAGGAAGTAAGGCATCATCGAGCAGCTTATGCAATTTGTATGCATGCTTTTCGGCGGTGGTGGTCTCGGCGCGCACATCGCTGCCAGAACCGACGCACGGGACCTCCCTGCCAGCTGAAGGTGCTGGAGGTGGGTGCTCGTCTGACGAGATCGAGAACGATGCAGACACTGAGCAACAAAGGAAAGCAGGCATTCGTTCAGGACCTACGTACGTACATGAATAGAGGCCCACAACATTGCACGCATAACACGTAGGATAACATGGTTAACCAAGTGGGTCAACGTGAATTTGCGGGAGTTTTGTTTCTTATACAGGTTTTGGGCAATCACAAGGGTGGTCATCCGTCGTTAAGCATTTTTGATGAGTCTTTGTAAGAAGCGATACAGGGTTTGGTCCAGTCAAACACGGCTGTGACGGGCAGTGCTTGGCAACTTTGGGTCTAAGCCGTACGCTGTCGTTGCAAATGAACGGACGCGCCAAACGGTGAGGACTTGCCAAACGGTGGGATATGGTAGAGCACTCATGTTTATTGTTTTAGATTATCAATAGCCTTGGCATCAGCTGTTCCTCCAGCTTGAAAATAAAAACAGAAGCACGGGGCGTTGGACACTGTTATGTACAGGCTTGTTGACGGGGCGTGCCTGGTCACGCCCATATTGCATTTATGGTTTACGTAGCACCTCCAAAAGGAGCTCGTGAAGGGAAAAGCGGTAAGCTGGACTGGGTTATTATTGTTCTGAGTCCACAGCAGCGTAAGGAGCTGCAAATCATCGAGAGGCTGTGAAATTAAGGCAAAACGTTATGAAATGGATTGCCAGGTGCAAATAAAAATGGCAACAAGGCGAACCGAGGCCGCGGCAAGGAGCAAGATGCTCTGGCCTCAAAGGCGGACCTGCTTGCTAAACTCAGTAAGTCATATGGAGATTAATTTGCGAACACTAATGTATATTTGTGTGCACTGGTCGTGCCGGACCATCGTCGAAAGCGCACCCAAAACGTATGTCCTCGCACGTCAGTGTTTCATGCAGGGAACTTTCCTGACACGGATCCGAAGCCACCTCGGCCTCCTCAGCAAGGATGTCTTGCCAAGCTTAAACAGCACTACTTGCCTGGATGTTACCTCTTTACCTACCCATTACTTCGTGCCCTCCCTCCCGCGCTGCAGCCCGCCAAGCAGAGGAGCATACGCGCATCTTAGAACGCGAGCGAGCAGCCCTCGGTTTGCCGGTGCGTAAGTGGCCATGCCGCTACCTTTCCCGGTTGGGTTCCCAGGAAACGAACCATCGTCGTTTTTCCCGGGGGGAGGGGACTAATTTCCGGTGGCCCGACCGCGTCTTATCAGCCCTGCGTCAGCACATGCTTGGAGTCCTTACTTTCCTATCGTCGCAACTTTCTCCCTGCCCCATGCTAATGCAGAGCCGACCTAATCCCAATGACCACCAGCACCACCACCAGCACCACCGCCAGCCGCCACAGGGGCAGGGTCAGCACCCAGCCGCCGGCAACGGCCGCAACCGTCGGGCCAACTACCATGTCTTCACGGACCAAGCCAACAAAAAGGTCTTCGACCCGCGTCAAATCCCAGGCCTAGGCGGCGGCGGCGATGGCACCGCCGCCGCCGCCGCCCCGGCTGGCGGCCGCGGCGGCCGCGGCCTCTCCATCGCGCCCCCTGACGTGCCGTCTGAGGCTGAACAAGCCCTCAATCAGACCTTTCCGGACAGCCCAAACTTCTACCCGGGCCGCGTGTTTGCGATTCCAACGACCATCCCGCCGGCCCCACATCAGCCGCAGCTGCCTAAACCTGAGGGAGGAGCTGAGCCCATTCCCGTGGCGCCCTGGGGGGGACCACCCTATAGCGGCGGCGGTGCCGGCGGCGGCGCAATGGCGGCGGCCCCGTCTGGCCCGGTGCCGATGGGGATGCCGCCAATGGGAGTGGTCCAAGGAAATGCGCGAGGAGGGGGCCCTATGGGCTTGGCTCCGCAGCTGCCGCCGCATGCAGTGGTGGCGGGAGCCGGTGGCGGCTTCGATGCAGCGGCGGCAGGTGATGACCCACGGGTCATGGCCCGCATGGAGGCGGAAGCTCGAAAGGAAGCGTACCGAAGGGAGCTGGAGGAGCAGATCCGGGCTAAGAAACAGGCTAAGGAGGCGGAGGTGCGGCGGCGGCAGGCAGAGGATGCGGCGTGGGAGGCGCGGGCGGCGGCGGCGCCGCAGCCTTGGGATCCTGAGGCGCGTGCGGCGCGGCGCGGCGGCGGCGGCGAGCCCCTGCGGGATGAGTACGGCAGGCCGGTGGCCAACCTCCGCCGGCGTGGCGGCGGCGCCGGCGGTGAGCCGGGCTCGCCGATGGGATCCCCGGGTCCTGGGCTGATGGGGGCCGTGTCTCCATCCCCCTCCTTCCTAGGACCCGGAATGGCAGTTCCCTTTCCCGGAGGACACCCTGGACTTCCCGGGGGGTCCCGATTGACAGTGGAAATACCCGGGGCGGGTGCGGCCGCCTTTCCACACCCCAACCAGGGCCCCGGCCTGGGGCCAGTAGGCGGTGGTGGAGCCGCCGGCATGGGCGGCATTCCCCCCCTGCCGTTCAACGGCGAGGGCGCGGGGGCCCCACATCCCAGCCACGGCCACGTCCCGATGCCGCCACTGGGCATGGGGCCCCCTCTCATGTCACCGCCGGGGTTGCCGATGCCACTGCCTCCACACCACCTTTCGCTCAACGGGGTCGGACCCAGCGGTGATGGCGCCGGTGGCTTTGGGGGGCCTTATGACGGTCTTCCTTCTAGTGCGGGCGGTGCGCCTCCGTTGTTTTCTCCCAGCAGCAATGGCAACATCCCGCCTGTCAGCCCGGGCAACCGGCGTTTCATGGCGGCCATGAACGACCTGATAGCGGGGCCGTCTGACGAGCAGCGGCGTCAGAAAGAGATGGCGAGACAGCGGTTACAGATGGACCTGGGGGAGCAGATTCGGGAGAAGAGGGAGCGGCAGGTAGGCCATGGGGGATGTAGCAGGTGGAGGTGGGGGGAGGTGGAGGTGGGGGGAGGTGGAGGTGAGGAGATGAACCGCGGGACGAGTGGGGGTTGGGGGGTGCAGGGGGTAGCAGGTGGGGTGGGGGTTTTGACGCAATGGGGAAGATGCAGGTGGATTGTGGATTGGGGTTGGTACGGGAGAGGGGTGTCTCTTGTGTGTGTGGGGAGGGGAGTGCGGTGGGCGCTCGGGGGGCAGCGGTTCTGGGAAGGCTGCTTCGGATGTACGTGGCGGAAGGGCGGGCCCAGGAGTTAACGTCGGGCACAGGTGCAATTTTAGTTGCAATTGGGTGGGAGGGCGGGAGAGAGAGGGTTTTATTAATCAATTCGAAACTAGGTTAACATCGCGCACCAAAAATCGTACTGTTGCAAGCTTGCGAGCTGCTCTGTGCCATACGCTATACGGCTACTCAGGCTCGGAGCGTGCTCTGCACTTTCTGCTGCACGCACCTAAAGAATGCGGCTTCCCGCCGCCGCCGGGTACAGGGAATCAAATGCTGATCCGCAATACCCTAATGTACGACATAGACGTCCAAAGTCCTTCAGCTGAGCGGTCTCACCGAAGTAACGATTAATTGACAACGCATAGGTGTCCAGTATCAAAATATTAATTGGTAATAAGCCATGTGCTGTATTGAGCAGTGATAAAGCAGTCTCCTGCGAAATTTTATCCCTTCATGTCGTACTCCCAGGCGCGCGAGCGTGCTGAGCTGGAGCGCCAGCGTCTCAAGGAGGAGGCCGAGTTGAAGGTACGGCACAGTACGGTACGAAAGCCACGTGATAGACCCAGTTCATGGAAGGCATGCACTCGAGGGGGCTTTGATGCCCTCGGACGTGAGGAGGGGAACCCGCGTGCGCGTGCGTACCGGCGTGGAGTGTTTTGCTGGGGTGGCTTTCTCCCCCCTCCGGTGGCTAGCGGTGCCAGCGGTGATTATCGCCACACACGTCCTCGCAGCTTGTGCCGTACATTGACCCGTAGGCTAGCTAGCGCTGCTCCTCTAGCTCGTAGGGCGTTCCGACCTTCCCCCGGGGAGATACGTACCGCCGAGGCTGCCCATCCCGTGCTGAGGTGCTCACCACGCATATGGTTGGCTGTAGCTTGTGGATGGATTTTATTTTTATTATTATTTTAATAATATTATTATATTATTTTTATTATTATTTTAATATTAATATTAATATTATTATTATTTTATTATTATTATTGTTATTATTATTATTTAATAATAATAATAATAATAATATTTTAATAATTTATTTTAATAATAATAATAATAATATTATTATTACTTTAATAATAATAATAATAATATTATTATTACTTGCAGCAGCAGCTACTCTTTTTCTGCTTTTTGATGTTGATGGTTCGGTGGGGTGGGATGGGTGGGGGTGGGTGAGGGTGCCTTGGTACTGGGTGGAAGAGAAGTAGAGTGTGTGTGTGTGTCATCATCATCATCATCACCACCATTATCACCACCATCATCATGCTCAAGCTCAACATGTTCTTCTCGCGGTCTCGTCGGCCCACGGAGATACCCCTTGCTGGCCGTCCCCTTCCACACTCGCACGGTCACACCCTTCGGCTGCCCTGCTACCGCCCTCAGGCCTTCCAGGACAACCTGGCCGCTCAGCGCCAAACAGAGCTGCACCGGCAGGCGGGGGCCGAGGGGCCGCAGCCGCCGCCGCCGCCACTGTCTCCGCCGCCTCAACACCCTTCCCAGTACCCGCAGCGGCAGCAGCTGCTGCAACGGCGGGAGAGCTCTGGCGGCGGCGCCGGCGGCGGCGGCGGCGCCATGATGGACGGCGGCAGGCCACCGTTGCCGCCTCGGCGGCACGGCAAGGGCGGCAAAATCATCGACGCGTCGTGGTTAGATGCGCCGCCACCGCCGCCGCCGCCGTTGTCGTCGTCGCCACCGTCAGCGGGTCCGATTTCCCCTCATGCAGGTGCCATGTTTGGTCGGCGTGCGAGTGCCGGACTGGCGGATGGTGGGTCCAACCTCACACTTACCCCGCATAGCCTCCCTGTCTCTAAATTGGTGCAGCAGGCTTAGCGGGGGGAACGGGTGGGGGTGGGAGGGGATGGAATAGGGCTGCTTTGGGGTTGGAGGAGAGGAGGATGTCGAAGGCGGGTTTTCGGGTCGCGAAGGTGACGAGGTGCCGGCCGCTGATCGCGTTATTACATTGTTACATGAAGGATTACCCGGAGGCCAAGGACAGGTACCGGCACCCTCAGGTCTAGCCGTTGAAGTAGGTAGAGTTCCATGACGCAGCGGAGCGAGTAGTGTGCATGGCATGGCACGAACATGTCATCATGCTCATATGGCTGGGGGGTGGGGAAAGGGGGGCAGGGTGATGGTGGCGGCGCTCGGACCTCAACACAACCACCACAACCACCACAACCATCATTCTTTATTATTTTTGGGGACCGGGGGTTGATAAAGCCCTGGCTGCGGCGCTGGATGCTTCTTTCGTGCGCGGCCAAAGAAACAATTTTGAACTTCAAAGAATTCCGTTGGCTTGGTTTTATCTACGCCCTATTCGAACTAGTGAGAGTTCATGTCTTTCCTTCCAAACTTGTCCTCCGCATGCTGCACTTGTTTTGGTGTTGTGATGCAGATGAGCTGACGTTCGGCGGGGGGCCTGCTGGCCAGGCAGGAGGGGGAGGGGGAGGAGGAGGAGGGGGGGGGCCTCTATCCCCCGGTGGAGGTGGGGCTGGGGTCCCTGCCGCCGCGGCGGCGCTACCCCCCCGCCGCATACCCAGCCACGACGGCGCAGGCGGCATCATCAAGGGGCCCGGCGGGGCCCCCTCGGCGTCCCGGGCTGCCGGGAACATGACGACGTTGCTGCAGCAGCTGCAGGTTCGTCGGCGGGGGGCGGGGGGAGTGAAGAGGGGGCCGGGGAGAGGGGGAAAAAGACGAACCACGAACGAGTGAAGGTGCTGCCAGGGCAAGACTGCACCAGACGTAGAACTGACCAAATGAGAGGAGGGTGGAAAGACGGGCGTGTGTGTGGGGGGGGGGCAGGAGGAGGGGTCGGGGGTAAGGGAGGAGCAGAAGTGGGGCAGGAGGGAGCTGCAGAACACAACAGGAACAGAGGCACCGAATGGAGGTTTGGGGTTTCGGTTGGGAGTCCGCTAGCGGATATTGTGAATAGAGATACGGAGGGCTGAGAGGAGGGGGGGCCTTGATGTTGAGCTGTGACTGGTTGGGTTTATCGTACAAATCCATGATGTGAATTGTCGTACAAATATCGGTAAGCCGGGTATTTTGACTTCAGAGGTTCCCCCTGTTCCCACCCTGAGCGTCCATACGGGTCATAGTTGGTGGTGTCGTATTCTGTTGTTCGTACATTCAATAGTTGTTTAAGTTTCTTCCCTCTTGTCCTGCGGACCGTTGGCGGCTGGTCCAGGTGCCATGTCCCCCTCACCCGCCTGTCGTACGCACACGCACTTACATGTGTATACATACACACATACATACATACGTACTAGTAGCTGCCACGGGTGAAGATATACCCCCCTGTTTCACACATCATACATACATGCATACATATGAACAGGAGGAGCAGTCCCGCATGCGGGAGGATTTCGCCCGTCAGGCGGCGGCCATGGAGAAGCTGGCGAACGATGCGAGCAGGGCCCTCGCCGACAGGGATGAAGCATGGCAGGAGCTGCAAAAAGTCAGGGCCGCAATGGCGGCTGGCGGCGGCGCCGCCGCCGCCGCCGCCGTCGTCGCTTCCTCCCCCTTCCTGGAGTCGTTCGGCATCGGCACTGTCATCGTGGACACGCATCTGGTCCCCAAGACGACGAATTCAATTCCGGATCCGTTACCGAAACCGTTGGTTTCGGAGGTTTTGCGGCGGGGTCGTACAGACCCTGGGCGATTGCCGTCATCGGGGGGAGATGAGCGCGGCGGCGGCGGGATGGCGGGTTTTGGCGGTGGGCCGTTGTTGTCGCCCGTCGCGCTGCGCCGCGGCTTTTCCCCTGGAGGTGGCGGCGACGGCTTTGGCGGCGGGCTGTACGGCGGCGGGTTTGGGTACGGCGATCTGGGACCGGTGCAGGTTCGTACGGCGCATGGGGAACTTGTTCTGATGGGAAGGGTTTAGGGAACCGGAGCGCGGAGTGTTTGTTGGAAGTTGGCGCTGGTTATGTGTTGGTGAATGGTGGCGGTTATGATACGGGAAGGGGCCCTATGTACGGCAAAAATACGGATGTCGGAGGGGGGTTCATTTGCTGGGGGGGCTTTCTCTTAACGTTGTCGCTCCTCCATATCGTGATTCCCCCCACTCCGATTGTCATTATATCGGTTGTACGGATGTACGGCATGTACAGTACGTAATGCATATGGCTGCGTGTACTGCTTCGCAACGTCACGCTATGCCCCAACCCACGTGGCGCGGGCCTGCGTGTAGGGTTTCCTTGTTTGTTTGATTGCTTAGTTAGTTGGTTGGGAGTTGGTTGGGTACTTTTAACTAACCTCCACCATCCCACCCGAGCCCGATGCGAACCCAACCCATACATTGCCCCCACATTCACATGGCCATTAACCACCAATACCATGCTTCCAGACCGTATTAATTCTGGCCATCCTTATTGACCCGTAGTTCTAGTTCTGAATCGTGATCGGATTCTAATCCTGGTTTGATATTCGATTCAATCCGAATGAAATCCATTTCGCAGGATCCCGCCCTAGGTCGCAACCCCAACGGAGCTGCTCGCCGCAGCGGTATTCCCCTGCCGCCGGGCATGCTGCCCCCACGAGCGGCACACGCCCGCGCCGCAGGGCCCCCTCGCATCCAATCCGTGTACGGCTACGGTTTCGATTCCTCGCCGCCTAAGAGCCGCTACAACAGCTTCTTTGGGCTGGAACATGGAGACCCGCCCGGCGGAGCCCGTGGCGGCGGCGGCGGCGGGGGGCCCCTGCCGTTGCTGGGCCCTCGTAAGCCGCCGCCGCTAAAGCCGCCGCCGTCACCGGCCATCCTGCGCGGCGACCACCTGCCGAGTCCTGTAAAGCAAACACGCGGCGGCGGCGGCGGCGGCGGAGGGGTGCAATCCGGAGGAGCCAGGGCCCGCAGCGGACGGCCTCCGGCCGCCGCTGGCGGCGGTGGCGGCGGCTCCGCTGCCTCCGCGGCGGCGGAGCGGCCCCTTCGCGGCCGTGCGGCCTCCGCGGCTCCACTGCAGTCGCAGGGGAGGTCGCCGCCGGAGCTGCCGCCCGTGCTGCGACCTCCAGTGGCGGCGGCCGCATCCGGTACGGCAGCGGTTGCGGCGGCGGCGGCGGCTGCGGCGGCGGGGCCGTCCAAGGGGCGTCAGATGTCCAGACATAGCTTGGAGGGTATGCAAAGAGTGTTGGAGCGCGGGCACGAGGAGATGTTGCTCCGGGGGCTGGGCAGCGACGACGGAAGCGGCAGTACGGGTACGACAGTGGAGTACGTAGCGGAGGAGGCACCGGCGTCAACGCGATCGGTTGTACGGAACCCTCGGTCTAGGGAGCCCTCTCTGCCTGGGCACACAGAAATGATGTCGCCTGGGGCGGCGGCCAACTACCTGGGTGGCGGTGCCGCCGCCGCCGCCAGCGGGGGCATTGAGGGTAAGGGCCCAAGGCGGTCCTTCTACTCGGATAGTATGGCGTCGTACAAACTGCTTTTGGCGTCCCATTCTGCGCTGGCGGCGCCGACAGAGACGGCTGCAGGCGCTATCGCGTCCAGCGGCGGTGACGGCCCTTCCAGCGGAATGCCTGATCGCCGTACAAGTTCGACGCATGCCGGGGACCTGGGCGTTGCAGCGGAACAAGGCAGGGGAGTACGGCATAGCGGCGGTACCGGCGCCGTGGCGGCCGGCGCCGCTGGCGGCAGCAGCGGCGGCGGGGCGCCAGCCGCAGGGGTAGCGCGGGCCGACAGCGCCATTAGCGCTGTGAGCGCCGCCACCACCGGCTCGTACACCGTCGTCACCCCCGCCGGCGCCTCCTCTCCCTCCCCCGCGCCGGAGATGCCGCTGCAGCGGCCAGTGCGGGCAGGGCGCCGCCCCAGCACCCGGCACCGTGTGCCGTCGGCGGCATCGGCGGACGGGACTAGTCCTGCCGCTGCTGACGGCGACGGCGGCGCCGTCGCCGCAATGGCAGCCGCCGCGGCGGCGGACGACTAGAACCTGTGTCGGGATCCTAGGTTCTGGGTCTTCGGAGCCGCCCTGCTGGGAAACATCTGCGGGACTGGTATGAGGAGGACGGGGGGAAGGGGCTCATGCAGAATGATGGAGCGAGGAGAGTGTTGGGCGATAGAGTGTCTCAGTAGCAGCAGTGGCAGCGGCGGCAGCGGTAGTAGCAGCAGCAGCAGCGGCAGTAGCTGCCGTTCATCAGGCAATATATTTCCTCCGGTAGGAAGGTCCATCTTGAAAGGGCGGTAAGGGGATACGGTTCCCGATGCAGCCGGGGTGTTGCAACAGACTGGCGGTTGCGTTGGGGCGAGGTCGTGAAGTGAACCAGTACGACAGTACGACATGGTTGTAGTGGTCCGGAATGGCCGTGTGGTGGCTAGCTAGCGACGCGCTTGCGGGCCTTCACCTTTGCGACCCGTCCTTACCGTCTTTCTTTCTTCCTGCCTTCCGACATACACCCCCTCTACATACACAACAAGGGGTTCGCGGGCCACTGGTTTGCTCTGGCTTCTCCTCCCGTTCCGCCTATCACTTGCTTTACCCTTTGCGCGCCTGTCCACCTGTCTATTACGCATCCCCTTGCTAGCTGATGACAGGGAAGTTCCGGTCGGGCTGAGGAGACCTATTTTTGGTTTTTTTGCGGTTTTTATGTCTCTGAACAGTATAGTTGAGGGGTGTCGTGTCGGCTACTAATTTTGTTGTTGGTTGGCGATCGATGGAATGGTGGGAATAGGGCTTGAAACAGCAAACTTGCTTGTTGGTTGGTTGGTCTCCCTACCGGGGGTGGGGGGTTGTGGCCTCTTAGGTCTGATGTGTGAAACAGGAGGGTATATCTTCACCCGTGGCAGCTACCCTGCAAAACCCTGCCTTCACCGGTATTTCGTATGTGTGTGTGTGTGTGTGTGTGTTACATGGTTGGGGGTGCGTGACCCCATACCTGTAGACCTACTACCCATACAAGCCGAAGGCCCAAGGGCAATATCTGTGCGCCTAAAAGCCACGGAGGAAAGGAAACACCGCACATCAGCCCAGACTAGCGCACAACGGGGATAACGGAGTTGCGGTGAGCCCGCATACGCTCTGACATTCTCGCATGACGTGCTGGCTCCCATTTTATGGCCTCATCCGTTGATGATCGAATCCCTCTTCCGCATGAATATCATTATAGGCTGGGCATTCCAATGACACGTGTTTTTCATCCTCGACTAGGCTATTAGTACCACAACAGCGGCAAAAACGGCTGCTCCCTGGGGACATGGTACTTGCCCCTTCATGCTCTGTTTGCCTCCAGAGCCCAGCAACATAAACGAAACTGCATTACCTTACGATGTGCGCTCTAAACGAGGAGTGAAAACCTTAGCATGTGTTGGCCACATAACGGCTGCGGCTCCCGAAAAGGGAAGAGCCCCATCCAGTGCTTATACTTTGCCATTTGCACTCCCGATTGCTTCCCATCCGATGGGTACTCCTCTGGCCTCGTATGTGTCTGTGTGTGTGTGCTGGTACTGCACCTGCTGGCGCTGTTGACTGGTGAATACAGATCTGCACGGCGTGAGCGTATAAATGTATCACAAATGTGTGTATGTATGTATATGCGTGGGGGTTTGACTCATGCTATGATGACACAAGGCAGAGGGGGTGAAGTGATGTTATCATGACTTGGCGAACTATGGCGGGTAGTACTACCTACCTAACTAACTGACTATCTAACTAATTGAGTACCTACCTACCTACCTACCTACCTAAGTAACGTGCGTATCCTGCTGCACAAGTAAAGAGTCCTTCAGATACCGCCCTCTGCGCTGCACGTCATTTGTACGACATGTACGACTGCTGCCGAAATATTATCATCCACTACTGTTGTAAATTCGCACACCAAGCAATCATGCATTGCTATCGGTGTGGGTGTGGGTTTCGCACAGGCGGTAATGGTGGCGTTGGAGTACGACATCATCATGCAGTACAGCGCATGTGTGTGGGTTTGTTTAATGATGTGAGTCGAGATGCGGGAAGCACAGCCGCGCGCGCACATGTGTATGTGTATGTATGTGCGTGTAGCGCTCTAATATACGTGTCAGTCTGTTGTGGGGAATGGGGGGGAGGCTCCGGCCGCAGTCAGGTGGGCGGGTGGGTGAACATGTGCTATTGCGGCGTGCTGCTGCTGCGAGCTGCCGTGTTTGAGCGGGGGGAGGGGGGCCAGAGGGAAAAGTGAAGAGGTCTTCTGCTGTCCTCGCTGGTTTGTTTATCGGCTTAATTGGTGGGGCGGTTACTTCTGGCCTGCTTTGCGTGTATGTATGATGTGTGGGACAGAGGGGTCATATCTTCACCCTGTGGCCGCTACCCGGCGAAACCCTGCCTTCCCCGGTATTTCGGGGCACCCTCATCCAGTCACCCTAGCCAACTTCTCAGTGGATCGCTCAGGTTCCGCACCCACCACCGGCAATCAAAAAAATCTGCAAGATCAACGGCGGCCCAAATATATTCACCAGGTCACCGCCGTCCATCGCTTAGGGCCACTTTTACCTTCCTCAATCGGAAGGATTTCTCGACCCTGACAGGTCTCGATCCCGGAACCTCCGGGGGCATCGGTGGGTGCTTTACCAATAGTGCCTGACCTACAAATTTATGCGTCAATACGTATATATGCATGTGCGATATGGTGGTGCAAGGATGACACGTCTGATCGTTGAGAGCGCCCACACGGTACCCAGCTACCTACCTAATATTCCTACAAAGTGCACATACATACATACATTTATGCACCGTACCCGCCACAGTAGCTGACATCAGCACCTCACGCATCTGTCGGTGTTTGTTCTTGTTTTGTTTTTATTTTTGTTGTTGATCTTGTTGATCTTATGCATGCATATTATTGTGCACGTCCGCTGCGCGCAATCAGGCGACCGCCTGATTTAGGCGATGATATGGTGTGTGTGCTGCTGCTGCTGCTGCTGCTACTGCTGCTGCAATCTTGGACTGTAGCAGCAGGCGCACGCTAGTTGAAAAGGCCTCTCGATATGCTTGACCAAGCGCTTAGCGCGTATTTGTAGTTGACATGTGTGCCGTACTGTGTACGGCAGCTACTACATGGACATGCGCGGCACACATACACGGGCGTTTTGTTGACGACTTCTCAGCACCGGTGCGGAAATGTGAGAGGTGCAGTGGAGTGTGTAGTGGAGGGGCTGTAAGGCGGTAGCAGGTTTCACGAGCCCAGCCTGAGATGCTTTCCCTCTCCGCCATGGGCTCCCATCCTCTCCATCATTTCTCTCATTGCTCGGTTTCTGCACTCTCCTATACATGCGGCTGCACTTCTTCATCCTCGTCCCAAATTATTGACACCTCATCCTCATCACTCCTCGCTTTTGAGATATGAAATTGACACCTTATATACCTCATTATTATTTTCCGAGCATTTCTCCGTCCGCAGCGTATGTGATTCGTTCTGCGTCCCTCCCTGCCTGCATGCGCTAGTATTATATCATACCAGCAGTCATTACCTCGCTTGCAACCACGTTTCAGGTTGCAAAGGGGCCAGTTTCTTTCATACGACTATGGGCCTGCAGGTCCGAAGAAAGTGCGTCCGAAGAAAGATGCTTGTTTAGCGCATCGCCAACCAGGGATCCCGGATGCGAAATACGCAAACGCAAACGAAACGAAACGTAACAAACGAGAAAGCCTTTCGTTTCCCTTGAGCTAAACGATGCCATACCAAACGAAAAACGCTAGCCTCCGAGCGTTTGGTTTGCCGATTGACCATGGCGCATCTAGTTGACTCCGCGGCCGCCATTCCTTGTTGCTTTGATTGAAACTGTCATCAAGTTACATACTGGTGCTCATAAGCGTTTATCTTCTAACTGAAAGTGTTGGGGCTTTATCTTTTGAGGCCAATGTACATAGATGGTGACCTTCTGCCACAGGAAACATGCGTTGACCAATCAATGCCTTTTTCTTGACCTATATATCCTCTGTATGATACCATAATTTCAACGCAGAGCTCTAGAGAGTGCCATAGCTATTGGTGCTATTCACCCGTACACATCCAACGCGGGCGCAGACTTGCTTTCCATACTTCACCCTGCTTCGATAATGTTTTTAGACAATCACGCTCACGCAAAGAATAAGCACTCTAGGTGTTTGTTGGCTTTAGTTGCATCTAAGATCTTGACGGAGGCAAATTCTCTGCCCCAATTTTTGCCGGATGGGGCATTTCTGGGCCCTGGCTCCCCCATTAAGCAATGGTCCAATCACTGCTCCTAATAAAGGAAACAATAAGGAATACGCAGTTGTGCATTGTAGTAAAGAAGTTAATTACATTTTATCGTAGTTTTCGTACCCTCGTTTACGCCCTCGTTTGGGCACGTTTCATACGAAAATCTGTTCGGTTACGTTTTAAATGCGTTTGTCTGACAAAAAAACGTGTCAAGGAACCCTGCTGCCAACAAATGGCAACGTCCGCCTCCGGACGCCTTCCATCTCCATATGCGCGCACCGCCAGTGCAAAGCTATGTGTGAAATTACGAATGTGTAGAAAAAGTACTATACCGGCGAGGCGGTGTCAGTGTATTTTGATGATGCCCCCAAACTACAAGATGCGAACTGCGATCGCAAATCGCGATTTGGGGAGAAACATATTGGATGGTTGGTTAGGGTTGTAGGGTTAGGATGGTAGGATGATAGATACATGTTCAAACGTTGACATGGAAATTATAAGTCAATTATAAGTCAATTGAGCGAGCGGGGATGAATGGGGGGGGATAATTAACGCTGATGAACGAAAGCCCGCAAGTCGGCGAAGTCTTCATCGCCGGGGATGACCCGGGAGCGAGCCCGCTCACAGAGGCAACATCAAATATACTTTATTTTTCGCAACATAAGGAGTTCGGCAGTAATCGCTTTCCTTTGTAAAAGCTATCTTGGCGAACATCGGCCCGCCAGGGAAATGGGAGAACTCAGCTCCTCTCGCGCACATAGCAGTTATTAGTCGATCG